ACAGGTAAATAACGAACTTCTTACCCTTTACTTCTAGCTCTGCTGGTTGGTTGAGTCGGAAGGGTTATTTAAAGGATTATCAGGTAATTAGTGTACAGGTAAATAACGAACTTCTTACCCTTTACTTCTAGCTCTGCTGGTTGGTTGAGTCGGAAGGGTTATTTAAAGGATTATCAGGTAATTAGTGTACAGGTAAATAACGAACTTCTTACCCTTTACTTCTAGCTCTGCTGGTTGGTTGAGCCGGAAGGGTTATTTAAAGGATTGTTAAGTAATTAATGTACAGGTAAATAACGAACTTCTTACCCTTTACTTCTAGCTCTGCTGGTTGATTGAGCCGGAAGGGTGGATCAAAGAACGACAACACTTGTCCTTGTTCGTGTTTTCAAAATCCAGTAGGTAAGTTAACTGAAACTAAAACTTAGGACTTTCTGAGCTCAGAATATGATGAATGATCTGAGCTATTTTAAGTCTTTTTTTTAAAGGAGTAGAGGGTCAATTTAGTAGGTTTTTGTTTCTTCTAAGTGTCAATAATAATGTTTTATAGAAGAGGTTACACACATGTTGGAAACAGGACAGCAGAATGTTCAGTTAGTCACAATGAACATTTTAATTGTTAAACATTTGTTGGTTTGTTGACGTGTAAAAATATCCTCACACCCCAATATTTGTTGAACTTGAAACTTTTCTATTTTATAAATAGAGAACATCAGATCTTGTTTGGTTTTTTTTTCAGTAAATATTTCAGTTTCTGATATACAAGGACTGACGGCTGTATCTGTACAGTCTTACAGTTCATGTCGTTATGTCTCTAGATCAGCACATTCGGCAGTATCTGTACAGTCTTACAGTTCACGTCATTATGTCTCTAGATCAGCACATTCGGCAGTATCTGTACAGTCTTACAGATCATGTCGTTATGTCTCTAGATCAGTGGCTTCCAAACTGTGTTTCGCGGCAATTTACAAGAAGTGTCACGAGAGTTTCACCAAACGAAGAATAATTAAGAACAAAATAAAAAAATACAAAAAATGTATTGTGGTGTGGCAGCAAGATAAATAGGTTAGGGTGTCGGCAGCAAAAGAAGTTTGAGAACCACCAGCTTCATTTGACTGGTTAGTTCTAAACTCAGGCTAACTCCATATTTTAACTGGTTAGTTCTAAACTCACTCTAACTCCATATTTTAACTGGTTAGTTCTAAACTCAGTCTAACTCCATATTTTAACTGGTTAGTTCTAAACTCAGTCTAACTCCTAACTTTAACTGGTTAGTTCTAAACTCAGTCTAACTCCTAACTTTAACTGGTTAGTTCTAAACTCAGTCTAACTCCTTATTTTAACTGGTTAGTTCTCAACTCAGTCTAACTCCTTATTTTAACTGGTTAGTTCTAAACTCAGTCTAACTCCTAACTTTAACTGGTTAGTTCTAAACTCAGTCTAACTCCTTATTTTAGCTGGTTAGTTCTAAACTCAGTCTAACTCCTAACTTTAACTGGTTAGTTCTAAACTCAGTCTAACTCCGTATTTTAGCTGGTTAGTTCTAAACTCTATTTTAACTGGTTAGTTCTAAACTCAGTCTAACTCCATATTTTAACTGGTTAGTTCTAAACTCAGTTTAACTCCTTATTTTAACTGGTTAGTTCTAAACTCAGTCTAACTCCTTATTTTAACTGGTTAGTTCTAAACTCAGTCTAACTCCTTATTTTAACTGGTTAGTTCTAAACTCAGTCTAACTCCTTAACTTTTAACTGGTTAGTTTTCAACTCACTCTAACTCCACAGTTTGACTGGTTAGTTCTCAACTCAGTCTAGCTCCTTATTTTAACTGGTTAGTTCTAAACTCGGTCTAACTCCTTATTTTAACTGGTTAGTTCTAAACTCAGTCTAACTCCATAGTTGAACTGGTTAGCTCTAAACTCAGTTTAACTCCTTATTTTAACTGGTTAGTTCTAAACTCGGTCTAACTCCTTATTTTAACTGGTTAGTTTTCAACTCAGTCTAACTCCACAGTTTGACTGGTTAGCTCTAAACTCAGTTTAACTCCTAACTTTAACTGGTTAGTTCTAAACTCAGTCTAACTCCTTATTTTAACTGGTTAGTTCTAAACTCGGTCTAACTCCGTATTTTAACTGGTTAGTTCTAAACTCGGTCTAACTCCGTATTTTAACTGGTTAGTTCTAAACTCAGTTTAACTCCATGTTTTAGGTTCCGCAAGGTTTGTAGCAGATTGGCCAACGATAAAAGATTCGACTATGCCGTTTTGTTCTTCATCGCCCTTAATTGCATCACTCTGGCTATGGAGAGACCAAACATTCCTCCCGACAGTACAGAAAGAACCATTCTCACTGCTGCCAACTACGTTTTCACCGCCGTGTTTGCCCTCGAGATGTTTGTCAAGGTTTGTCTGGATTAACTTCAGTAGTAGAGCATCTGCTCCTATGTACAACATCTTTATAACTTTTTACAACGTTTGTGGATTTTTAGTCTCAAAGTGATCATTTATTGCCTAACGCACGTGGTTGTGGTATAATCTACAAGGAAACTGGTTGTAGTTAGAAACGAAATTATTAATAAAAGGCTCGTGACTTCTGAATGTTGACGTTTTTAATAAAACAGACACCTTTAATTTTGAAGTATAAACTTTCCATTTCAAATATTTTATATTACAGTGTTTAAACATTATAAGATTTCGTGGCAAGAGCGCGTTAACTCTCATTTTTTGACAAACGCGGTTTCTGCTGTTGCGTTTTGAACCCGAATTCACTAGATTTTACGGGAAATTCAACAACCTTCTTTTTAAAAGTTAGGAGTTTCAAAGTCTAACATGATATTTAGGCCTTTTCAAAACCTTCACGTTTATAAGTTGTGATTTGTTAGAAATTATTTAAAGTAATGTTAAACCACTATAGCGTTTTGACCAACATGACTTTTTGTTTGTTTATTTTAGCCCAAAGCTATACAATAGGTTATTTGCGTGCACCCCGCCACGGGGAATCGAACCCTCAATTTTAGTGTTGTGAACTTAAGTCCGTAAACTTACTGCTGATCCACTGTAGAAACAGTTTTACCACCCATTAAGTATTTAATACAAGCTGTATAACAGTTCCACATATAGTACAACATGACCTAATTAGTTAAGTTGCTTTAGTTTTTGATAATTACTTCAATTATTATGTCCCTCGGTGAGTTAGCAAATCGTTTTCGGAATTAAAGTTTAGATTCAATGCGGAGGACTGTGTAGCTTTGCGCTAAAAACCAATAACATCAACAGCAACTTAATTATCATATTTACCATTGTCAAGTAGTTCCTTTTTTTAACCTTATTATTGAACATTCTCGAATCGTATCAATGTTACTTTTCCGTTGTTACTGCAGGCTTAACTATATTTAGTACTTCCCGTTGTTCGCTCCATGTGTTTTGTCAAGTGACTGAGACTGTTTGTGTTAGACAACCCTCATAGTATATTTAGGCTTAACTATATTTAGTACTTCCCGTTGTTCGCTCCTTGTGTTTTGTCAAGTGACTGTGACTGTTTGTGTTAGACAACCCTCATAGTATATTTAGGCTTAACTATATTTAGTACTTCCCGTTGTTCGCTCCATGTGTTTTGTCAAGTGACTGAGACTGTTTGTGTTAGATAACCCTCATAATATATTATTTTTGTAACGTATAACTTGGTTATATTTTGATTAAAGTAATATTATAATTATTCTAATGTTGTTTTTAATTCATACATTATATTATGTTAAACATCAGTTTTGGGCTGAATTTTGTGTCCTGCTCCTGCCTCCACAAGTAAACAGGTTACATTATGTTACGCTATTTGAGTAAAGTTTTGATTATGATGTCAAGTTCTTGAAGCAACATTAAAACTACGAGTGTTCGTCTGTTCCGAAGTTAAGACATGTATATTATATTCTTTCTTTATTGTTACTTTTTTGGCTGTATGGGTTAGAATGTATAAAATATCTATTTTATTTAAAAGTATTACTTCGCATTGTTAGCTTTGTATATGGATTTAGCACTAATCTAAATTTCTTTGATCAGAAGTTAGAATATAACAGTAATTGTTTAATATCATTTTAAATGACTCTGTTATGGTAGAATTGGTGTCTTGGTATAATTACTGAGTAACATGTGTTCCATTAGGTGGTAGCCAAAGGACTCTGGTATGGTAAACACGCCTACTTTAAGAATGGTTGGAACATTATGGATGGATCCCTGGTGTTTGTTTCAATGGTGGATTTCATGTTATCCTTCATTGCATTTGGAAGTCCACGTATTTTTGCCATCCTTCGGGTTTTCCGGTTACTTCGTTCTCTCCGACCTCTCAGGTAGGCCTTTAGTTGCAACCTAGTCTTTCTGTCATTATTTAAATTTAATTAACAATATGGTAATTCTTGTTTGTTTACAGGGGTATATACAGACCAGCAGGGCTTGAGCTGGTTAGTTAGACGTTAAGAGTGTGTGTTTTAACTAATTCCTGTTTGTTTATAGGGTTATAAACAGAGCACCAGGACTGGAGTTGGTTAGTTAGATGTTAAGAGTGTGTGTGTGTTTGACTAATTATTGTTTGTTTATAGGGTTATAAACAGAGCACCAGGACTGGAGCTGGTTAGTTAGATGTTAAGAGTGTGTGTGTTTGACTAATTATTGTTTGTTTATAGGGTTATAAACAGAGCACCAGGCTGGAGCTGGTTAGTTAGATGTTAAGAGTATGTGTTTGACTAATTATTGTTTGTTTATAGGGTTATAAACAGAGCACCAGGGCTGAAGCTGGTTAGTTAGATGTTAAGAGTATGTGTTTGACTAATTATTGTTTGTTTATAGGGTTATAAACAGAGCACCAGGGACTGGAGCTGGTTAGTTATATGTTAAGAGTGTGTGTGTGTTTGACTAATTATTGTTTGTTTATAGGGTTATAAACAGAGCACCAGGGCTGAAGCTGGTAGTTCAAACTCTTCTATCGTCGCTACGTCCCATTGGAAACATCGTTCTAATTTGTTGTACCTTCTTTATTATTTTCGGTATTTTGGGTGTTCAGGTAAAGATGAAGTCTGTCTTTTTAATACCTTATTTATTAATATTTTTATATATATTTCCACCGTAAAAGTAGAAAATAACTGTTTAAATTGAGTGAATTAATCTTGTCCTAAACATTTTAAATTATTTGATTTATACAAACTGATTTGGGGGGGGGGATCGCTAGAAGCGAAAAAGAGAAGACAATGATTTTTATTTCGAGTGTTTGAAATATAAAAAATATATAGTTAGTGAAAGAATATAATTTATATAATGCGGAACCTGGTAACTAAGCATTTAGAGATAAAAAACGTAAAATACATCTTTTTTTTTAAGTAACTGAATAATGAAGACACAAATGGCAAAAGATGGAAGTAGGAAACTTTGAAAAAAAGAATACAAATATTTAGTTTATCAAAATTAGATAAGTACTTAAGTAATGAAGATGGAACGACAGAGTAAGAAAGGTAAAAATAATATATTCACCTGGAGAGATAAAACAAGAGAAGGAAAGAAGAAGAAGAAATAGAATGCACGAGTAAAGAAGATGGAGGAAACTGGAAGAAGTTTTGAAAAGAAATAAGAAAGGGAAAAGAGAAACAAACATACAAAACACTGGAGAGAAAAAAAATGGAAGAAAGAAAAAGGAATTGTTGGAAGAGATAAAAGCTGATATAGATTTATGTTAAATAAAGACAAAAATGGATACTAAGCGTAGAATTATAGGATTAAATATGAATGCTAAAGACTATTAATACTAAGGTTAAGAAACATAAAAGATTTTGAAGGGAAACGGAAAGGAATTCAGTTATATAGATTTTACAGTACCTGATGATGACAAAACCTTGTCGAAACGTTGTACATTTGCTGTTATGTTAAACTTATATTAAAGTTTTTCTTCATTACCCATTCATGCCGTCTCCAGCCATTATTAGTCTCAAAGTGGGTTCCTCGTCACCGAATTCGAAATTAAAAACAGGTGATAATGATGAAAGCAAGAGGGAATCCTCAATAGCCGCGGCACTTGAAATTCTTTTAGGCAGGATTAGAGTAAATTAGTCTATGATATTTTTTCCCCTTTTTATTAGCTATATTTTTGTGCGTCAGCAATACCAAGCGTGGGGTGCACGTATACCCGATTAAATTTTATTACTCATCAGGATTTCTACCAGCCTACCTTAAATTGAAATTATTTTCGGCACGATTAGAGTGAATTAAACTATGAGACCTTTGGTGTGGTCAAATACATCAATCGAAAGGGTTTGACCTCGTGAGTCCAAAACTGTAATTAGATCTCAAATCTGCCAAGAGATGGCGGAGCTATGAGCTAAAAGTTTGTACTTGAAAACAACAAAACAAATTCAGAGCCGTTCTATGAGCCGTTATGCCGCGACTTAAAATGGAGAAGATTATTGAATCAGCTGAAGAATAGAATATAAATATTTGATCAGCAGAAACAGTTGGCTTTAGCGGAAATATTAATACAAGGATTGGAAAAGAAATAGGAAGAGATGAATATAAATAGTGTTTGATAAGGAAATCTAATAATGATGAGGTTAATACAGAGGAATGACGATCTACAAAGGTTTGTGAAGAAAATAGATTGAATATTTTACATAAGTTAGAGAGAAATCAAACGGATGGAATATTTTATAATAAGTATTGAAAGCAATTGAAATGTTATAATAAAGAAAACGAGACTGGAAAGAGGAATTACAATTCAAATAAGACGTGAGAGAAAGTAGCTAACGAAAGGAAATAAAAGGTTTGAGATAGAGAAAGTAGCTAACGAAAGGAAATAAAAGGTTTGAGATAGAGAAAGTAGCTAACGAAAGGAAATGAAAGGTTTGAGATAGAGAAAGTAGCTAACGAAAGGAAATAAAAGGTTTGAGATAGAGAAAGTAGCTAACGAAAGGAAATAAAAGGTTTGAGATAGACAAGTAAGAAATATTTAAACAAACATTTGAAGAGAATATAACCACTAGAAGAGACTGGCATAAGTTGTATAATAAAAACAAAAAGATAAGACCTGGGAGAAGATTAGATCAATAAATGGAACAGATATAAAAGGAAAATAAAGAACAATGAAATTAGAGGATTGGAAAAAATGATTTTTTTGGAAATTTTAAAGATTAGATAAAAACGAAGAAATTTTTTGTTTGTAATTAGGGCACAAAGCTACACAATGGGCTATCTGTACTCTGCCCACCACGGGTATCGAAACCCGGATTCTAGCGTTGTAAATCCGCAGACATACCGCTGTGCCACTGGGGGGCGAAACGAAGAAATAAAGTAGACTGAATTGTAGAAATAAATGATGATAAATTGGGTAGAAACATAAAAGCTGGAGAATTGAGTAGTGAAATTAAGACTTCTATTAACGCAACCGTTATGTAATATATATGATTTACAGAAGAGGAACAGAGAATTAAAGAAACGGAAGAAATAGGTGTGGTAAATATAAATCCGGTTTTCCAGTGGAAATACACAAAAGGAGCTGATGAGACACCAATGTGTAAAGAGGTTTAAATGTGGCTGCCAGAGAAATGAAACGAATTACATTAAGCAGATAATTCTGCTCTTGATATGTTCGTTGGATCAGTGTAGTAAAAATACGGGATGGAATAAAGATGAGGAGATACATGAAATAGACGGATTATTAGAAACAGTAAATCTGAATGTGGAAGTCAGAGCTAAGAATAGACTTTGGGGATAACTTTTAGAAGTAATATGAATACAAGAAAATCCGTGTTTAATAAAGATGATAATACAAGTAAAGAATAAATGAGGACAGAAAGAATACTGGAATATTTTGGAAGTTTGTTTGTTTGTTTTTGAATTTCGCGCAAAGCTACACGAGTGCGCTAGCCGTCCCTAATTTAGCAGTGTAAGACTAGAGGG